CATTTCTTGAATGTTTACACCTCATTTTTATGCAGGTATTACATCCCACCTGCTATTCAGCTGGGACAGCTCACTACTCTGTTACCATACCTGCTTTGCTTTTTGATAGTCTTTAAACAGAATTATTTTACATGCCTCATAGGGCCCTGCAGATATGAGGGAGGAAAATGTGTTAATGGTTTAAGCAGAGGAGCCTGTGAATACTTGGACAAAGAAATCACAAGAATCCGCAGGCTTTATTTTCTCCAGCAAAATGTGACAATGGATCTGGAGCTCAGTCGTAGTGTTTGTGTAGCCTGCATTAGTCTCTAAATTCAGTCCTCAGTGCCCGGGATAGGGGAGGCAGGGAGGAAGACACCATATATGATGCCTGTTAAATTCACATAATATTTTAGTTGAATGAGAAGAGAAAAACATAGACCAAAGTATTTTATGCTTTTTCAAGCAAAACCACAGCTTGTCACACACAGACACTTAAATATTATGGAATTTATAAGAATGTAGAAGTGTGACAAATGAAGGGACTGTGACTCAGATGCTCTTGCCAGAAACACTCCTCTCTTATCCCCATGATAAGCCTAAAAAGTGGGCGTACCTGAGCTCCTTTTTCAGGTGAGAAACCTGAACCACAGCGTGGGTAAGTAGCTTATTCCCTGTCTGATTCCAAAGCCTAAGCTGTTTTTACCACACCAGAGCCACTCTTGTGGGACAATTCTACTTACATTTTCCCCACCACAGAGCTGTCCTTCAAGGGTAAAAACTTTGCAGAGTTCTTCACAGTAAAACCTAGAAAAGCCCACGAGCCCACTGAGATGCAGTTCTGTCTCTCTCTGTCCATCTGGAAAGTGCATCCACAGATGGTTTGTATGAGGAAATAAAGAAGTCCCCAAGCATGCCATCTGGGATTGGCCAGAAAACAACAGACTGACTGGGCCAGCCTTGTCCTTCTGGTTCCCAAACCTGAAGGGACTGTTTGAGCTTGCATAGCCTTTAGCTGGCTCAGTGCATGATCCCTGCCAGCTGCCCAAACATTTCAGGAATATCTCACTGAAGCCAAATTCATAGCAGGCTGGAGATGATCAAGGCAGGTAAATCTGGTTAACACATTTAAGGCCCCTAGGAAACTAGGAAGAGGCAATGTTCCCTAGGCCCTGGGTTCTTCATTTTATGCATCCTAAGGGAGTACTTTGAAAGCAGTGACCAACTTGCAAACTTCCACTGTTTTAGTAACAAATTTCAGATACTCTGGGGATGTGTGGGGAGGGGGATAGAAAACAGACTGTTCGGGATGACACAGGGACCAGAAAATCTTTCCTTATAGAGTCAGAAAACTATATCATATCCTTTTTATATAACAAGGAAGCAGGATTCATAGCTCTTCAGTGACTTCTTATTTCTGTGTCCAGGTGACAGGGTAACTTCAGAGAAAATCCCAAGTCAGCGTTTAACTAAGGGATACATATGTGTTTGCCTCTGAGAATGAACCACAAATCAAAACCTCCTGGACAAAACCTTTTTTTCTCTTTCTTCCTCTCTTTCTCCTTCAATATAAATTGTCCTACAAGATGTCTTTATTTGGCTTTGAAATCTGACTCAAGTTCTGAGCTATGATAAATTGCTGATGACAGATTATCCTTTCCTGATAAGATACATATGATAATTAAAAACATTTTAAATTTATTTTTTATGTGTATGAGTTTATTGCTGGCACGAATGCTAGTGTCATGCAATGCCTGAGGAAGTCAGGAGAGAGCATCTGATCCCTTGGAACTGGAGTTGTGAATGGTTGTTAGCCTCCATGTGGGTGCTAGGAATTGAACCTGGGTCTTCTGGAAGAGAAGCTAGTGCTCATAACTGCTGAGCCAGCTCTCTAGTCCCCCAACTTTTAAATTATCTATAGTAAGCATTGAACTATATTTATAAGCAGAGGAAAAGGTTATATAGAGAAATTCAAGCCTCTCTCACAATCAGCTGACATCTCTATTGTAAATGTAGATATTGAACAAGAAATTTATGAAAGACTAGAATTCAGATTTTGAATAGGAAGATATGGAAGAAGACACAGAGCTCTACAGTTCTTTACTGTTTCCTTCATCATATTTCCAGGACTTATTTGAATTTAATGAAACTTTATTAATAGATGCATGCATATATGTATGTGTGTATGTATTTGAGCTAGGGTCTCACTATGACGTCTAGGCTGTTCTAGAACTCATAGTCTTTCTGTCAGCCTGGTGTGCTAGAGTGTGCACTCCCATGCCCAACTTTATTTATTTTTTTATTTTGGTTTTTGTTTGCTTGCTCGTTTGTTTATTTGTTTTGTCTTTTTGACAGAGGGTCTCCCTGTAGCCTCAGTTGGCCTGGATCTCACTGTATAGACCAGGCTGGCCTCAAACTCACACAGATCGCCTGCCTCTGCCTCCCAAGTGCTGGGATCATAGGCATGTGCCATCATGCCCAGCAACTGTTTGTTTGTTTGTTTTTTGATTCAGGGTCTCCCTGTAGCCCCAGCAGGCCTCGAACTCACTAGGTAAACTAGGCTGGCCTCAATCTCACAGAGTTCAGCCTGCATTCACCTCCTGAATGCTGGGATTAAAGAAAGGCACATGCCATCCCACCTGGCTTTTGACTTATTTATTTGAAGTGCTGAAGATTAAAGCCAAATCCTCAAATATGCTCTGCCACTGAGCAAGCTACATCTCAGCTGCATCTTGACTCTTAAATCACAAAACAAACTAGAGGAAATCAGATTTATTGAAAGAATGGTACCATAAGCAAAGTCAGAGACACTTCTAAACACTTCGCCCTAGTTTTTAGGGAAGCCAGGTCAGTGGTTTTGAACAATAGCGGGCAGAAAAATATTGACTGAAAGTGATGTCACAGTCCTGTAGGCTTGCTGGCAAGTGTGAGGTCACAACTTTGGATCACCAGCATGAGTTCCCCTTGCAGCTCTTCCATTAACTAAGCCATTCACCTAACTCCTTCTGGCTTTGCCTACCTTGTTTGTGAGTGTGGTCTGATCTCAGATCTACCTTATTGGTTTCCCTGGCTGGGGAAAAATGAAATAACTCAAAGTCTAAGATTGAGACTGCCCCAGGTAATGTCCAACCAGGTCACTCCTTCCCTGGAATAGCACTCAGCCTCCTAGAGCACACAGGGTTTCCTCATCTCTGGGTTTCAGGTGTCCTCCCTCAGGAGGTGTTGCAAGGACTGACTAATGCACCATAGTGTCTCAACAACGATAATGTGCAGGGCAGGTGCCAGGAGCTCCAAAGCCCCAGGAACATCGCAGGCCTCAAGCCACCTTTGTGTTCTGGCTCTAGATGTCTCATCCACCATATGACACAGGAAGTCTCTGACCCCAAGGATGGGAAAACATTCACAAGAATAGTTTAATATGGCTAGTTTTATGTAGTAGAGGGAGTCATTTCTCAAGGCAGAAATGAGTGCCTTCTTCTATAATCCCTTAACATTATTTTTCCCAGAAGCTCTTGTAATCATTGCCTGTTGGGAAGCATGCTCTAAGCTTCCTCCTTTTGGCCGAAAACAACAGATTCTTGCAGTTGTTTTCTTGTATAATTTGTTTTACTTATTTTTATCTTTTCACATTCATGGGTTAATTCCTGGAATTTCTACTTCCTACTTTCAGGCAAAACATGAACTCATACCTTGATTCTACTAATATCTATTTTTCTGTCTATCTATCTATCATCTATTATCTGTGAGCTTCCTCCTTTTGGCCGAAAACAACAGATTCTTGCAGTTGTTTTCTTGTATAATTTGTTTTACTTATTTTTATCTTTTCACATTCATGGGTTAATTCCTGGAATTTCTACTTCCTACTTTCAGGCAAAACATGAACTCATACCTTGATTCTACTAATATCTATTTTTCTGTCTATCTATCTATCATCTATTATCTGTGTATCTATCTGCTATTATCTGTGTATCTATCATCTATTATCTGTGTATCTATCATCTATCTTTCTATCATCTATTATCTGTCTGTGTATCTATCATCCATCTATCTATATCATGTATCCATCCATCCATCCATCCATCCATCCATCCATCCATCCATCATCATTTATCTATCATCTATCTTTCTATCATCTATTATCTGTCTGTGTATCTATCATCCATCTATATCATGTATCCATCCATCCATCCATCCATCCATCATCATTTATCTATCATCTATCCTTCCATCCATCTATTGTTGTTGGGAATCAAGCCAAAATGTGAACATCAGGCTAAACTACTGACAGCTTGCTAACCCCCTTGAAATCCTACACAACTTCGTTCCATATTATTTTTGGGTCCTAGAGATGGAACCCAAAGCCTTGCATCTGCTAGGCAAGCACTCTATCAGAATTCTATTCCCCCATATCAGCTCTAGTAACTTTAACCACCCCCAACCTCTGGTCCTGGCAATTCAGGTGGGTGGGTGAGATGGGTGTTTCCTGGGCAACCGGGGCAAGCTTGCGCCCACGCTGCAAGAAAGGAGCCGCTCCTCTCCACAGGTGTGTATGTTGGAAAACATCTGTGAACCTGTTGCGCTGCTTTCAGTGGATCAGCCCAGTTACCTCTCCGGCGGGCTTCAGAAACACCCGGAAGCAGGTGAATACCTGGAGACCGGGGCCGGGCGGCCGTGGGATGGGGTGGGACGCAGTGCGGCTGCAGCTGGAGGGCTCCATGCCAGGAATCCCTCCCGGCAGCTGGCGCCTGAAGGGTCTCCGCTGGCTCTAGGCTCTGCTCAGTCGTGAGACTGGAGATCCGGTTAGGTTCCCCAACACCGCAGGGGCCCAGCCTGCTCGCGGAAGGGATCAGGAACCCCAACCCGGACCACGTCCCCTCCGCGCCCGGCGCGTACAGTGCCTGGAACCTGCCCCCCAGCCGCGAGTCCTCAGCTGTGCTACAATGCGGGAGGCGGTGGCCGGTATGCAAATATCCCGCGGGGATCTGGGGCCGCCTCCCAGGCTCGGGATAAAAGGCGGGGCGGGGCTGAGCGGGGCCGCAGAAGCCTCTGCCTCCCGGGAGCCGGCCGTGCGCTCCGGCCGAGCCTCCCAAAGGGTGTCCCCCCCTGTCGCCTGCATCCCCGACAGTGCGGCAGGTCCTACCACTCGCGGTAAGAAGCGGTTGAGCGGCGGCTCTGGAGAGGTGGGGGTGGGAAGAGCGAGGTGCTGAGGCCGCGACGAGGGAGTGACGTCGCGCCTGGCCACACTGGTCCCCTCGGTTCCGTCTGCGCCCCGGTGCGCCAGCGCGGCGCGGCCGGGGACTGCGCTTTCTCAATGGGAATGTGGGAACCGGCGCCCACGCCGCACTCTAGTTGGCTTAGGAGATGGCATCTCCCCAGGAGCTGCGCACTGGCCAGTTTGTCCCCAGGCGATCGGTGGCGTTCAGGACGGAAAGAACTGCACGTTTGGTCTAAGAAGGGTTAGGAGAGACAGAAAGGCTTTCAGGAGCTCAAAGGGAGAAAGGTTCCGTCGGGGCTCGTCCACTCCGCAGTGATCTTCCAGTTTGCTGCAGATATTCCAGGACGCATTAGAGAGGCTGCACTGAAACTGCGGGTCCTGCCAGCCCAGCAAGTTATCGGGCCCCACAGGGTGGGCATCTCCCTCAGTAGAGAAAGAGAAAAGCTTTGAAGTTTTTTTTTTTTTTTTTTTTTTTTAAATTAGTGCCTTGATTGGCCACCCAAGATCTGGGGACTGATCTGACGTTATACTATGAAAAATCTCCCCCTCATTTCCTTACATCCACCCCCATCCTGGAGCCCACAAAGTGCAATATATAAAGGTGAGAATATCGCCCTCAGAAGGGTCCATGTCCAGCTTAACAGGTCCCTATCTTCTAGCTGTTGAGCCGTGGAGCCCAGGGAATGGAAGGAACCAGCCTGAGTCCTAACAGAGCCACTCTGTTAGGGGAGGGTAGGCCCGCCCACCTTCCCTGAGGCTTGGAGGAGGACTTCCATCTCCACTGGAGGAAATAAACCTGTAGTTTGGAGCTAATGTGTGTCCTTGGAGTTACTGGAAGGTCAAAGAGGCCAAAAATGAGAAAAAGGAAAAGTGACCCGACACTGCAAGGATTAATTCCGAGGTGGGGAGTGGAGCAGTAGATACCTGACACATCTCTCCTCCTGTTTCTGTTTGTGTGTGTTTGTCTTGGTGCCCGTGGGTAACTGGATAACTGAAGATCTGCAGACATGTCTGAGTTTTGGCTAATTTCAGCCCCTGGTGATAAGGAAAATTTACAAGCTCTGGAGAGGATGAATACTGTAACCTCAAAGTCCAACCTGTCCTACAACACGAAATTTGCTATCCCTGATTTCAAGGTAAAATTTATGTGGTGCGGGAAAGAAAAGAGGTTATGGATTGGAGGAGGCCGGGGGTATCTGTCCCAGGAGGTGGCTTCTCAAAAGCCAAGGAGGAGGTCATAGGGCAAAGGTGGGAATGCTGAGGACAAGTCTGCGGTAGAGGATGAACAGGGAGAGTCCACAGGCTCTACGGGAGTCTACAGGACTTCACCTATAGCCCCAGATTAATTGTGGCACTTACAGTCTTACAGTCATAGGGAAAAAACAATAGGGGAGTAATGCTTCAGAAAGTGGAAGGGCACTGTGTCCTTGAAAGTGGTCCTGGGAATCTTACTGTTCAGTCTGCAGCATTAAGGACAACCACAACATTGTTTAGGGGTGCATTTGGGGAGACCCTGGGTTTTGATAGTACTCCACCCAGAGGCAGGTCAGGAGTCCTGGGTGTTTCTGATTCTGCAGGGAGGGGAAGGGGATGTAGTGAAGTTTCAAGGATCTGAGAGGGCTCCTGCAGTAGACAGTGAAGTTAAGATGAAATAAACATTAAAGAGAAGCAAATAGTCACAAAAAAACAGGGTAGGAGGCAAACAGAAGATCTGCATAGGTTCCAGGCCAGCCTTGTCTACATAAGGAGTTCAGGTTAGCCAGGGCTACATTGTGAGACCTTGTCTCTGAGAGGGGAGGGACTTGGGGACCTGAATTTGATGTGATATCCACTTGTGATCCCAGCACTGAGGAGACCCAGACAGGAAAATTCTTGGGACTTGCTGACCAGCTACCATCCTATCTGAATCAGTGAGCCCCAGATCCCAAAGTGAAAGTCTGAAAAAGCAAAGTGGATGGCTTCTGAGCAACGACACCTGAGGTTAACCTCTGGCTTCCACATGTACACACATCCCCATACATGTGAACACATTGCATACATACACATACATACAAAAAGCAGCAGGCTTGGGCCGGGAAGGATGTAGCTCAGTGGTAGAATGAAGGCCTAGGTCCAATCCCCAGCACTGCCAAACTAAGCAAACCAAAACAAACTAAACTAGAACAAAACAAAAACAGTGAACTTGGGCCTGCGGCTCAGTGGGTAAAGGTGCTTGGTGTGACAACCTGAGTTAGATCCCTGAATAAAGGTGGAAGAAAAGAACCAGCTCCACAAAGTTACCCTTTTACCCTTTGACTTTCACATATACCCCATAGTACATCCTCTCCCACATCATACATGTCCACATACACACACACACACACACACACACACACACAATGATAATAAAAAACTAAAAGTTCTGGGCATGGTGGTACATGACTTTAAATACACACACACACACACACACACATAATTTTTTTTGTCTTTTTGAGACAGGGTCTCCCTGTAGCCCCCGATGGCCTAGAACTCACTATGTAGATCAGGCTGCCTCCCAAGTGCTGGGAGTGACTTTAATCTCAGCACTTGAGAGGGAGAGGTAAACAGATCTATAAGTTCAAGGCCAGCCTTGTCTACATAGAGAGTTCCAGGCCAGCCTGGTCTACGTAGAGAGTTCTAGGCCAACCAGGGCTACATAGTGAGAGCCTGTCTCCAAAATACTTTAAGATTTATTTTTATTACTTTTAGTTATATATATGTGGGGTGGGGTGGGGGTATGTGTATGTGAATGCAGTTGTCTGAGAAAGCCAGAAGTGTTGGATTCCCTTGAAGCTAGAGCTACAGCAGTTGTGAGCCACTGGAGGTGAGTGCTAGGATCCAAACTCCCATCCTCTGCAAGAGCAGTAGACACCCTTAACCACTGCTGAGACATCTCTATGGTCACAAATAGAAATGATTTTTTTTGTTGTTGTTGGTTTTTGAGACTGGGCCTCATTATGTAGCCCTAGCTGGCTTGGGATTTCACTATGTAGACCAGGCTAGCCTCCATCTCACAGAGATCCACCTGCCCCTGCCTCCTGAGATCTGGGATTAAAGGTGTGCACCACCATACCTGGCTATTTTACTGCCTGCCACTTTTCATTCACTACAAGGGAGAGAGGTACTGGGCTAGGCACTAGAGAGTACAGAGGTAAAAGAATTGCCCTGCCAAAAGTTGCTTTAAATTCAGTTGTTTGAAAAGAAGCAACTTCAGCTGAGCATGGTGGCCATACCTTTAATCCCAGCACTTGGGAGGCAGAGGCAGTCAGACCTCTATGAGTTTAAGGCCATCCTAGTCTACTGAGTTCCAGGACAGCTGGGGCTACAGGGAGACTTTGTCTCAAAAAAACAAAAAAAAAGAAGAAGAAGCAACTTCATCAAGTAAAGCTCTCCAGGCTTCATGATTGCTTACTTTTGGGGAGTGGTTCTAGGACTGGAACCAAGGCCTTGCACATGTTAAGCACATGCTACCACTAAACTACACCCCCTAACCCCTACTTAATGCTTTTTAATGTCCAGGGGTGGAATCCTATGATGGTAAACTCTTCCTGGTAAGACCTTTCAATATATGTTTGGACACTGCATTCATTTCTACACTAAGAAACAGATCATAAATAATCCAAAAAGAAAGGGACCTCTATAGTTTTCAGAAGTGATAACTTGTTGGACTTGATTTGTGGTGTGTCTCTTTGGCTGTAGGTTAATCAAGTGGCCAGCAGATTGACACTGGAGGAAACTGAACTGAGATCAGGCCACAGCATGATAGCCCTTCCTTCTCAAGACATGTCAGCTTATCCTGTTGTCATTCAGTCCCAATAAATAAATTAAAAAAATAAAGGGCTAAAGAGATGGCTCAGTCAGTAAAGTGCTTGCTATAATACAAACACAAAGTTCTGATTTTCTCCACACTCATACCAGGTTCAGTGGCACGAGTCTATAATCAGAGTACTGAGAAGGCAGGGACAGGAGGATTTCTGGTGTGTCAGTTTAGCTGAATCGATGTTTCCCTGAGAAACTCTGTCCCCAAAAATAAGGTAGAAAGCAATTGAGGAAGATTACCCAGTGTTGACCTCTGACCTCCACACATGAGTACCAGCACACATACACCAGGCATGCACACAACAAACACACAGACACAGACACACACCCCCCCCACACACACACAGAGTAATCATAATAAAATGTGTAAGTCCTAAACCCATGGGTTTCTCCAAAGTATTTTGCCACTTTCAAGTCTGGCTATTGGCCAAGGATAGCCAACCCAGTATGACGTGAGAGTGAGCCCCCTGTACGGTGTTATGACAACCACACTCCTCCACCAGAAAGCACATGGGCCTCTGATTCCTTTATGATCTTTTCTAGGTGGGGACCTTGGATTCCCTTGTTGGTCTCTCTGATGAGTTGGGGAAACTTGATACCTTTGCTGAAAGGTAAAATATTTCTTATTTACTACATACAAGTAAGAATTTGACATTGTTGTCAGAGAACACAGTGTTCTTGCTTTGGTCAAACCAAAGTATGGACTTGTCTAAACCTGGTCTCAGAAACCAGCAGAAAGTGGGTGGGTTCCCCTGAGTGGGGTGACATCCCATGCTGGGTCCATTATTTTGTTTATTGAAGACAACTCTTTTACTCTCCTCCTCTCCTCTTTTCTTTTCTCTTTCTTTTCTTCTTTGCCAGTCTCAGTAAGTTACCTAGACTGACCTTGAATTCTCTGTGTAGAAACCCTGGCTGTTCTTGAACAAACTTGCTTATCCTCCCAAAGTGCTGGGATTATAGGTGTATGCTACCATGTCTAGTTTAAGTTTGTGTTTTAATAATGTATGAAAAAAAGAAATTCAAAGAACAAAAATAAAACTAGAGGGTGAAAATTAAGTTTTCCTCAGATATGTTTACAGCCTTCCAGTTCCCTCATTGACTCATTTTCCTCTCTTTGGAAGCTTTGTAATCATAACTTTCTAGGTGAACTTTCCAGTGATAGCCCATGAAAATACAAGTCAATATGTGTATAGTCTTGCTGGTCCAGTGATTTGTGCCTGAAGCCCAGCACTCAGGAGCTAAGATCAGAGGATTGCATGAGTCCATGAGTTCAAGACCAGCCTACTCAACATGACAAGAGCTCAAAAAGGCCTAGTGAGTTCCAGGCCAGCTAGGGCTACATAGGAGACACTGCCTCAAAAAGAAAAAAATACAGGGTATATCTCAGTAACAGAGTACTTGCCCAGCATGCACCATCCTTGGTTTGATTCCCAGATGATGATGAGGAGGATGCTGATGATGCTGATGCTGGGAACCAGAGGAATACCTGTTGACCCATTCCAGGTTCCAGATCAGAGCTTTTGGACATTCCTCAGAGGGCTGCAGATTATCAGAGTCTGTGAACCATGTTCTTTTCTCCCTCTTTGTGGAATGCCAATATGGCTGTTCATTATTAGAGTTCTACCAAACATACTTTGAACACTTTTATTTGCAAATGGATGTTGTGGCCTAGGAATTGGGTTTTCTGTGTTCTGAGGCCATTCACCTCTTGACTGGTAAAAAATAACAAGAATTCTTGGTTAGCCACCTTTTTCTCCAGGTGGGATGTCAGTGTAATGTGTGTGGAGGCATCATTGTTATCACAAACTTTGCAGGCTATGAGAAAGGAAACTAATCACAAAGTGAATTAACAGTGGCCTCTGCTCTGCTTTTGTGGGGGTTGAAAGGGAGCAAAATAATTCTAAGTCAGAATCAAGTGCCAGGCTAGGACCATTGAAAAGATGTCACTTAAGAAAAATGAGTGGAGTTCCCACATCTCCACTCCTTTCTGAGGCTGCTCCGCACCACACCGTACTTAGATCTGACAGGTCTTAGATCACGAGGGCCTGGCTGGGAGGACAAGTTCTCATTGGACAGTTAAATCAGGTGACCCATGCAGAAGTAAAGAACCCATAAATGCCCCTGACAGCAGCCCCCTGCCACAGACTGGTCAGTACTTTCGTTTTTCTTGTTTTCTCTGTCAGTCCTGGCAGACTGCAGAATGAAGCTGCTCAGCTAAGAGCACAGGTAGATTCATGAGGTATGAGCTGCTTCCCGGCTGGCTGCAGATATGACAATTCTTTTTTTTTAATTTTTTAATTATTTTTGTTTTATGTGTATGAGTGTATTGTCTGTATGTGTTTAAGTGCAATGCCTCTGGATGTGGCAGCAGCTTGTGTTTAAGAAGCATGAAAATAGCCATGTGTCGTGGTACATGCATTTAGTCTCAGCACTCAGAAGGCCGAGGCAAGTAGATTTCTGTGAAATCAAAGTCAGGAAAAAAAAAAAAAAGAAAAAGAAGGAGGGCTAGAGAGATGGTTCAGTAGTTAAGAGCACTAGTTGCTCTTCCAGAGGACCTGGGTTCATTTCCTAGCACCCACACAATGGCTAACAACCATCTGTAACTCCAGTTCCAGGGATCCAAGGCCCTCTTCCAGCCTCCTCAGGCTTTGCGTGACATGGATGCACTTATATACATGTAGGCAAGACCCTCATACACATTAAATAAAAATAAATAAATACAATTTAAAAATCAAGGAAAGTGCTGGACATGGTGATGCATGCCTTTAATCCCAGCACTTGGGAGGAAGAGGCAGCCAGATCTCTGTGAGTTTGAGGCCATCCTGGTCTGCATAGTGAGTTCCAGCAATTAAGAACACTGCATGCTCTTGCAGAGGACCTAGGTTCAGGTCCCAGCACCCACATAGTGACTAACAATCATCTGTAACTCCAGTTCCAGGGGATTTGATGCCCTCTTCTGACCTCCATGGTATTGCATGACACAAGTGTACTTATAATACATGCAGGCAATACACTCATACACAGAAAATAAAAAAAAAAAAAAAAAAAAGATAAACAACAAGGGGGGGAAAACATGAAAATACATGTGCAAGCAAGAGGAGAATGTCACTGTGAAATACAGATACCATATACACTTTAAACAATTCTATTTTGAGACAGGGTCTCACTATATAGCCCTGGCTGTCCTGGAACTTGCTATGTAGATGAGGCTGGCCTCAAACTCAAAGAGATGCACCTGTCTCTGCAGAGTGCTGGGACTAAAGGTATGTGTCACCGTGCCCTGCCTAAACTTTTTTTTTTTTAAAGGGAGTAGGTGTGGTAAGAATGAAAACGTCTTCTCAGCATGCATTGTTTCCATTTTCCTGGTATGTATGTATTCCCAAGTGCTTTCCTACAGGGGAATGAGGAAAACTGGTGGAAGCATCCCCAAATACGATGTAGTCTAAGGCAGGTGCTGTGTCTAGGAGTCTGTACCAAAGCTTAGGGTGAAAAGAATGGACTGTGGCCATCAATCCAGAGGCACCTTCAGTTCTTTGGAATGGTCTCCCAATCCTTTGAACCACACTCAAGTGTTACTAGATAAATAAACACTAACAGGGCCTGTAAGCCACACAGCAGGAACCTGTCAGCACTGCTTCTGCCCAGGGGAACAGAGAAGGGACAAGCGTTTTCAAGGTGTCTTGTTTCCATATCCTTTTATTATTTATTTACTCAGGCATGAAAGTGTTTTTCCATGTAGCTGCAAGGCTTACGCTTATGAGAGCCTGCCTATTAAAAAATAATTTATTTCTTCATTGCTGTGTTAATTTACTCTGTAATTCGTGAACATTTGAGATACCCAATGATTTTACCTTTTAAAAAAGCCTCCCCTCCCCTTTTAAATGGTTAAGTCCTTTACAGTTCCTTAGTCTGTTCTGTAGTACTGTTTGAAATACTACAGTACACAGGTTTGCGGCTGCTCAGTTGCACCTCCTGGCCTTTTCCTGAATGTTGTTGACTGCCACTTGTCCCTGGGTGTGTTGCCTGTCGTGGACTCACTGGTAGTGGCTTTTGTTTAAAGACTAAACCTGAAAGTGGATGTCTGTGCCATAATGCCAGAGAGTTCTTGTAAGGACACTGTAAAGGAACCCAGGGTATGGTTTTAAAGTGGTCTCTGGGCTTCCATTCTTTGGTTGTGTCTAGCCCGTGAGTTCTAATTTTTTTTTTTTTTTGAGACAGGGTCTCCCTGTAGTCCCATCTGACCTGGAACTCACTTTGTAGACTAGGCTGGCCTTAATCTCCCAGAGATCTGCCTGCCTTTGCCTCCCAAGTGCTGGGGTTAGAGGTATGTACCACCACACCCAGTGAGCTCCAATTTTTTTTTTTTTGTCTTTTTGAGACAGGGTCTCCCTATAGCCCCAGCTGGCTTGGAACTCACTATGTAGACTAGGCTGGCCTTGAACTCACAGAGATCCACCTGCCTCTGCCTCCTGAGTGCTGGGATTAAAGGCATGTGCCACCACGCTGAGCTCTAATTTTTCAAAATTTTTGCATTTAAACTCATTCCCTTGCTTTATTTGGACCCTTTTTCTTGCTCTTTCCTACAATGCATACTGATTTATATGCTTAGTTTATTTAAAAAAAAAATCTTTTGATGACATTTATTTGTTTATTTACTTATTGTGTATGTGCACACAAAGGCCAAAGGACAACTTGTGAGATCTGGTTCTTTCCTTCCATCATGGAGGTCTACAGACTCAAACTCAGGTTGTCAGGTACGGCAGCAACACCTTTACCCACTGAGCCATCTTGCCAGCTGTTTATTCTTTTGTTTGTTTTGTTCTTTTCTGAAATGTTAAAAGCAATGGACTTTCCTTCGACTATTATATACTTTCAATTTTAATGTGTGCTATTTTATTTATTTTTATTTTACGCGTATGAGTGTTTTGCCTGTATCTGTATAAGTGCACTACATGTGAGCAATGCCTGCAGAGGCCAGAAGAGGGCTCTGGATTCCCTGGAACTGAGGTTACAGATAGTTATTAGTTGCTGTGTGTGTGCTAGGAATTGAACCCTGGTCCTCTGCAAGAGCAGCCAGTGGTCTTAACTGCTGAGCCATGGCTCCAGTCCCCTCTTGTTTTCTTTTTAAAGTTAGGTATTTTGCAATTTTTAATCCTTGTATGTCTGGAAAGTTGAGTTTTTTTATTATTATTATTGTCTTTTTGAGACAAGGTCTTCCTGAAACTCACTATGTAGACCAGGCTGGCCTTGAACTCACAAAGATCTGCCTGCCTCTGCCTCCTGAGTGCTGGGATTAAGGGTATGCACCACTGTGCCTGGCAAGTTGAGACTATTTTAATTGTTATTTCTGATCATGTTTTCTTGTTTTTGTTATTTGAGATAGGGTCCCATGTAGCCTAAGCTGGCCCTGAACTCACTAAGTAGATGAGGGTAACCTTGAATGTCTGATTCTTTTGTCTCTACCTCCCAAGTACTGGGCTTACAAGCCTACCTACTATGCCTGGCTTGCATGTACTTTTCTGCCTTTGCTGAACACACAGAGGTTTGAAGTCTTAGGCTAGCTCTCTCTCCATTGAGAGCATCCCTTCCTCATTCTCTTGTATCTCAGGCT